TGAAGGCACAGAATATCATCTTCTCGGACGAAGCACATTTCTACTTAGGTGGCTTAGTAAATAAACAAAATTTTCGCTTTTGGGGGACTAAATCACCTCACGTTATTGAAACCAAGTCCTCACACCCGAAAAAAGTCACTGCATGGGCGGCAATTACAATAAAACGTATTTTCCTTGAATTTATTGCGAGTCCGACAATCAGTGTTGATATTTACTGTGAGTTCTTGAAGACGAATTTCTTTCCTTGGGCACGAAAACATCAGTTAGTCAAGAATTTCTATTTCATGCAAGATGGTGCCGCCCCACACAGGACTGCTGGAGTATTTGAAATACTTTTTTCCGTTTACGGCACTCATGTGTTAGGCTTAGGTTACCCTAAGTATGCCATGGGGGCATGGAATGGCCGCCTTACAGTCAGAACTTATATCCCTGCGATTTTTGCCTATGGGGTTTTCTCAAGGACAAGTGCTATGAGAAGCATCCGATGACGGTCGGAGAGTTGCAAGACGCAATTAGGGATGCTATCCGAGCTGTTGATAGAAACACAATACAGCGCATCTATACCAATTTCGAACGCAGGATAGAGTTCTGTAGTACAAGTGATGGCGGACCCTTGGAAGGAATTGTATTGTAATTTGCCGAATGTTCCTTGTACAATAAAAAAAGAACAATTATTTACATTTTACTGTAACCAAGTTAGTTGCAATTTACTTTGGTCACATGCTATGGGACACCCTGTGTAGCTTTACAACACGAACTAGCAGCAAAAACTTCAGATATACACTGCCACCTCCATGGTGCTATGAAAATTCAAATGTTTCGAATACCTCATATGAACGTATATCCATATTTTCTGTCCAAATTGCAAGTTCATATTTCGATTCTTGCACAAGCTAGCGTGATTAGGAAGGTTTTTATGGAGAAACAAAAGAACGGGAATATCTCTAAAAGTTTGTATGAACGGGTATATATGTTTTGATTGATTTAAATAGAAGGTATTCAAACGAATATTTAACCCTAGATTGGTTATCCTATGAGGGAAACCCCGCCGCGTGTCGTTTTTCTTTAATTACAATTGACTGGCTAATCGGCAAAATTCAAAACAATTTGACTTTTTCAATTGAAGTGTCTAAAAAATTATAGTAATTTTTAGAAAAATATATTTCCCAAAATTTCTAGAGAAAACAAATTATTTCAGTCAGATGAATTTTTTTTCCCATGTTAACCCTCCTGAACTGGCGCGTAGAGCGGCGCACCGCCGCCAACTACTCAACCTATAGGGCGCCACTGCAGTGCAAGTGAGACGTAAGAGATCTAGCCAGTTCAGGAGGGTTAAGGATAATCGGGCGAGCCCGGAGGGTTGGAAAAAAAGCAGCCATTTTTTTACGTATTCTTTAAATGATGGAAAAGGCGTGTGCAAAGTTTCAGACTGCTGGGGAGCATGGTTAATTTATTATGAATTTTTGAAAAAGTGGTCATTTAACCCGTGATCTTATGGAAATCAAAACAAAAACTGCAAAACCCAAAGAAAAAATGCATACTCCAAAGTCATGAAACTTTAGAGACATTTAGAACATCTGATGAATGATTTTTTGAGTGAAAAAGATTGTCGCCTAGGAGCATTGTTTATTAATAATAGTGAAAAAAGTACTGAAAAATGAAATTTCTGCGCACGCAGCCCAAACGAGTCACAACGTCCCAAGTACTGATTGGGTGGGAGTAGCGCGGTCAATTTAAACGTCACTTGAGAGAGAGAACGATGAAGCGTTGTGATTGGAGCTCCCTCGAGCCTTTGGTACCAGCTCCTGGTGAAAAAAAAAAAAACTACCGACAAGTTGCCACTTTTTCGCATGGATTAATATTTTTTCATTTATTAAAAAAAAACCATCTGAAAACGCGTGGAACAGATACAAATAAATTTAATTAGCTGCAAAAATAATTTTTAACCGGGGATATACCCTAATATTGCCTGAATTGTGAATCCGAATGGGAAATAGTATATTTCAGCACGTGTGGGGCAATTTCGTCTTTAACGTGTGTGGGGTTTACAGCATGAGCCGAAGGCGAGTGATGTAACCACACACGTTAAGGACGAAATTTCCCAACAAGTACTGAACAAAATTTTATGTCACGAAGCCTGAAACCGGCTGAATTAGACACGAGACGCGAAGCGTCGAGTGTGTAATCCAGCCGGTTTCAGGCCTGAGTGGTATAATAGGATTTTTCCGGCCTGTTGCGATGGGGTTTTTTACTCGTGTGGCGTTGGCCTCTGAGCCGTAGGCGAGGACTGGCCAACCACACGAGTAAAAAAACACCATCGCAATAGCCCAGGAACAATATTTTTCTGTAGTGATTTTCAAGTTTTCGAGTTTGGGAAGCATGTAATACCAATTCCCAGATGAGAAATCGTGAGAAGCAGTACAGAAAAATTTTTTTGTTCAGCGATTGGTTTTCTGCAGGAAAACAATAGAAACCCCTCCGCCTCACCTCCGACATTTCCTCCTCGCCCGATTATCCTTAAATGAAACTGTGCATGGAGCCTATTCTCGAATTGAAATCGTACGATCGAACTGGACAAGTCGTATGCGACTCATCGTACGCCTTATGGGTCGCATGAGATCTGCCAGATCTTCAACTCGAGAATAGACTCCCATGACGCGACGTTGCAGGAAACTCGCTAATCGTGCCCGGGCAGTGTAGAGTGCATTCGGTAACGCTAAAGCCTACATAACACGGCGGTGAATCCCGCGGCGGTGACCAACGTCGCAGGATTGCGTTTGATGACCAGACTAGGGTTAAAAAAAATGAAAGCGGTTGCGTAGTTCTAAAAATACTGCATATAAAAGATTTTCAGAAAAAGTCGAATATCTCCGAAACTACGGACGTGATTGAACCCATCTTCAATGCAAACCATTGCTATCATAAAAGGAAGATTCTCTCCAACTTTCAAGTTGATATCTCGCTTTTTGCACAAGCTAGAGTAACTACAGTTTTTTTATGAAAAAACTAAAAGGCGGGAATATCTCGAAAACTTTATATGAACGTGTGTATGTTATGATTGATATAAATAGAAGACATCGAAACGAGTATTTTGAAAAAAAAATCAAAATCGGTACACTAGTTTTGAAGATATTTGCGGAAAACAAGGTCGCCATTTGCTACGATAATAATTATCGTATTATACATTATTCATATTTTCTCTATTGAACTCATTTCTCAATATTCATTAAAAACGCTGTTTCAAAATGTTCAGAATTTTTTCTCCTTTTTTCTTTAATGCAAATTCATAATTTTCAGGAGTCTCTGAGTGACGGGGCATCGATTTGAAATTTCGAGATAAAAATGGAAAGAAAAAAGTAATCTAGATAACGTTCGGCAGATAATGGAGCCGATCATTAAGACCTATAATCTGACAAAATTTCAGATTTTTTGTAATTATTTTAGATACTTAATTACTCCGTTGTCCGAAAATTGACCACCGCAATTGACATGCTCACATACAGACATGATCGCCAAACTTCCTATTTTGACGTTTCAGACTGTTCTACATAATTTTCAATCAAAATTAGAAAATGTGAAAATTGGACGATTACAACGCTTCCATTCGGAAGCAAAATTAAATGATAAAGGCATTCTAAATTAAAAAGACATTAAATTCCAAAGCGCCTGGTGAGGCATAAATATCAAACCTTACTAGGACTTAGCATTACGCAGGGTTCACAATGGCGACGCAACTGGTATGAACCCTACAAAGCCCCAATATTATAAGTATTTATAATTTATATCTGGCGTGGTCGCTCAATTTTAGTATTACCCTTTTTGGAATTGCACATACTTGAATTATACAACTTTGCACAATAAATTAAACATTTACAAGTTTGAATTGTACAATGTGGAGTTCAGATTGCACAGTGTGTAATTGAGATGGAACATTTCAATTGAGTAGAATTCAATACGCATATTGTGTAATTAAAATGCGAAGATTACAATTATTGTAGAAGGGTCTCAATGCAAAGCATTCCATGTGTCAAAAACTGAAGGAATTCCATTGTCTGTAATGGAATGCGCGGTCAAGAAAATGCTATGTCGTTAAAGTACGTCCAATTTTATAATACTGTGCTACCGAAGCGATAGTTCCATAACAGCCTGTCAATATCTTTCTCCTCTTGTGACACATAGCTCTCATATATTCGTAAAAAGGTATCACGAAATCCAAAGCATTACACTCTGATCGGCCGAAATGAGAACGAAGAAAATGATCCTTCCAATACCTGTCAGCCTTCAAAATTCGTCGAATGCTTCCCTCAAGTTTTCGTGCATATCAACAATTGAAATGAGCTTTCCAATGAATTCCTTCTCGCTGCTATGCAAGAAAAATATCGGAAAATTTCAGAAAATTTTGAAAATCTCGATATATTATAACCGATAATGAGAAATGTGAGAGAAAATAATAAAAGTTCTCTTGATAATAATTACAGATATATTTGCAGAATAATCTGTATATGACTTCATTTAGTTTCTCTTTGCCATTCTATTGGATTCACCTCAGAAGAAAATGATTTAGTGAAAAAAATATTGTTCAATAATTTTTTCAATTTACTAAATTTGCTCCAAAAATGACTACTTATATTTTCACTCGTTAACGAGATATTTTGATAACAACTCCGATGTGACTTAGATCGCTTTATTACTTTTCACTGAAATTTAAATGAGATAGAATTAATTTTAAAAAATGAATTCCAACAAAACCAAATGACTAAAATACACTGGAAAAATGAAGAACAATCTATTGAGGAGAAAAATTCTCGGGAAAGCAAAAAACAAAACGAAACCTGCATTCAGATCGATAAATTGCGGAAAGATTGCAAAAAAAAAATGATGTGAAGAAATCAAATGTTGAAAACTCAGCGAAATTAGAACTAAAAATACATTGCGAAGAACATTAAAAAATCACAGGATTGGAGGAGAAAAATCTGGATAAGGGGAGCTTGAAAACTCACCGATCGATGCCTACGATGAGCTTTGTAGGAAGATCGATGGCTGCTCTGACGAGTCAGTGAACCATGTCTGACCTGCTGCGTTCCAAAAATCATATACAGGGTTTTATATTACCCAATTAAAAGAATTGTTTATGTTTAATCTATTCATGTATCGAAACCCAAAGAATATTAGACGTTGAAAATAAATGTGAGAACCATTGTACTCGATAATTCAATCAAAGCACATTTCTCCGATTGTTAATCTTTTTGACATGGAGATCTTCTAGAGTTAGCAGAAATCGACCAAATTAGGTCACTATATGATTTTCAGTTTTTTAACCGTTAAGTGGTCGCGCTTTTCTAGCAGCTCACTCGCACTGCAGAGACGTCCTATAGGTTGACTAGCTTTGCGTGAGGGAAATGCTTATAGCTTGCTTACTGACGGATTAAGGGTTGAATCTAAAAGGAATGTAAGGAAGAATAATCGCGAAATAAAAACCGAAATGGCAATTATTTTAATACGTTTTCTAATTTCCCGGACTGGATTTTCCACCTATAGAGAGGAACAAGGAAATTCTGGAATGGAGAATGTTTTTTTCAGTTATAGAATATGAGTTAAATCGTTGGGTCCTAGAAAATTCTTCCCGCTGTTGCAATTAAAAATTTTCATATAACAGATATTGATAGTTTGTATTAAAATTTTTCCCATAACAAATAGTAATCAACTATTTCTGTTACCAAGTTTAATGTAGGCCCAATATCACTGAGATTCGATAACTTTTGGAGGATGAAAAATTATGTAACTTATATGTAATTAAAGCTACAATATTCCGTTTTTCAATGACGTTTATTTACTTGCAATATCTGTTATAGATTTGGAATTCTTCACTTGTGGCTTGCGTCTACATGACATAAGGGCGTCGTACTTGTGGGGTTATTAGGATAAAGATTGGGGATGGAATAAAATGGGAATTCCTGCAAAACCTAGGCTGAAATATTCAATTCTATTTTGTATGTATTTTTATTTTCTATCCGAATGTTCCCATAAATCATTAACAATTTTTAATTGTTTATTTTGGGAAAACGTTCTTGAATTAGAAATATCTTCAAATTAACAATTTATCATTATTTTTCTCACTACTGTTCTGGAATCAGAACAAACATCCACGAATTGAAAACTAGTTTCCTCAAGATAGAAGTAGAAATAGGACAGCAATAAATGAAGAATGTTCTGAGTGTGATTCAGTAGTGAAGTGATAAAATGAGTCGAGTTTAGGAGCAATTCCTAGAATAATCATTGCGAGACCATTTTCATAGGTTCTAAGATCTCCCTATATTTCTTTAGCCTTATTCATATCGGATATGATTCACTCATGAAGAGGGAGAATTATGTGAACGCGAAGTGTTTACTGCTGTTCTACTGATTTTTGAAATAATGCAGAGCTACTAAGGAATCCTCGATTTTTCAATTATTAATTCAAATATTTTTGAATCAGTAATACTTGTTCACCCATCGTAAAGCCTTGAAAATGAGAAAAAAAAAATTAAAATAATAAAAATTACCTTAGATGCATCGAGACTATGATCTCGATCCCTAGGTCTTCTGCTCGTCACTGGACTGCCTCCAGCAGATTGATCAGGAGGTCCGTGGGCTACCAGTGGCAAACTCCGAGTAGGGTCCAACCTAAGCTGCTTCACGATATCCTCAATCAACTCGACAAAAGTTTCACATTGGGTCTGAGGCAGGAGATTCTCAGCAATCAGATTATTAGCAATATCCAGCGGCACCATGTCATCTCTATCAAACTTGAACGTAACTGTTTTCTGTTTACTAGTGTCCAACTGACACTCAACAGTCATGGATTGTCCCTCAGAATTGCTCACGGATAAAACCGTCAATTTAATTCCAGGTTTCTTCCTTTTTGTGCCAGATCGTTTGACTCTGCTTCTTTCTGGTGCAGCAACGTTATCAGAGCTTTCAGGCTGATTATCAAACGATGCAGAAGTACCTGATTGCTCTTGTTGTAGACTTTGAGGTCCATCAGATGTAAGAGAAGTGACAGACTCCATTGTGTCTTGTTTGGTCAATGAATTTTGAGGAGTCATGGTGATGACTTCCTGAGGGTGAATTTGTGGCTGTATTTGAGGCTGAACCTGTGGCTGAACTGCAACCTGGACCTGAGTCTGTGTCTGAACCTGAGCCTGCATTTGTGACTGTATTTGAGCCTGTTGCGGTTGAATACTCTGCTGTGTAGGAATAACATTAGTGCTAGTAGCCTGAATCTGATTCGTCTGTGTATACTGCATTTGCATCATCACTTGTGCCTGCCCACTGGAGATTACATTTTGATTCTGCACATTATTCGACAACTGTCCAGCCGCTTGTATGTTCTGAACACTGGCAGTCCCAAGGGATTGAGGCTGACTCGTTTGAACGAATCCTTGGGATGCCGTTACGTGCACAGGGGTATTCGATACCTGCACGTAGGTCTGCGACGTTGATTGATTGGAATTACAATGAGTTGGAGCATTAGAGTTATTGGGATAGTGGTATACTTGTTGCTGGATGTTCTGTTGGTAGATAGTAGCTCCATGTTGATAGTACTGCTGTTGGACCTGCAATCATCCAGAGAATCATTTTAGACAATTTAGACGTTCCTACGTATCACTAAGCCAAGTACTTCCGTTCGTTAGGGCGGATTTTGGTCATTTAAACCGGTCTCTTAAAATAGTGTGAATAAACTCCAATTGAGTCGTTGATTGTAACGAGGAAAAATAAATTCAAAAAGCCCAAAAACATTATTCATCATTTTTCCCATAAATTTTAATTATCCTTTACACCGAACCCCTCTGAAAACGCACATTTACCATACCCCGCGGTTTGTCAGACCGCTACTCCGTCTAGATCGTATTTCCCGTTTGTTTGAGCGAATGAATCAATACTTTTTGTCACTGAAGGTTCAAATGAGGGCTAAAACGAAGAAAGATCAAGCAATGGAAAAGCTAAACGATGGAAGGGTCAAACGGAGAAGGGTTGGACAGAAGAGTCAAAACGTATGAGTATATTCAATTTTTTTTTCTTCGCACATAAATGTTTGTTATGAACATTTTTTCATATAAATTTCGCATGTTAATCCTCGATTATCGAACTAACAAAGATATGGGGTTCATTATGAATAATTGGTGCCAATTATTATTTTTTATCAATTCCCTCAGAGAATAAATTAGAAGAAAAAAAATGTAAAACATTTTGTATTGATTGGAACTGATGAAATAGGAAGCTACTGGAAGTTTGAATTTTTTTTCCTACATTTATCAATAGTTATATACGGTCAAAGTTTTGATAGCGGTCCCACAGACCGGGAGTTCGGTGTAAAGGTTAAACCAAATTCTCGATCACTAACAAATAAAAGCTCTTTGAAAAATGCATTTCCATTGTATAATTAAAGAAATGATAATTTTTGACTCAAAAACTCATACTAAAGATGAATAATAGAAGATATAATGAGTCTAACCTCCACCATTTGCTAAAATTTAATTGAATATTCACTTATTCGGGGAATAAGTGCATGAATAATAGCGATTTTCAGTCATTTTCAACACTTGCCTCACTGACAAAATTAATAAGCGCCAAACTACGGCAAAATACAAACTCTAAGTGGTGCCAAAATTTTTGTCATTTTTTTGACATCTCTGGTGAAAATATCTACTATTCTAGCCACTATGACAAAAATTTATGTGATTCTAGCCTTAATTCCCTACATTTCAAAAAAATCGAATTTCCACCTACAAGACATTAAAAAAATAAAAAAGATGAAGTTTTTCATTTTTCACTGAAAATCCTCCCATGAATTATCTCTACCGGTCTGTTAATTAGTAATTATAACTAGGCTGGTAGTGTGAAATATCATACTTCGCCAGGAAATCAACTGCCGAGCAAACTGGGAAGTGGGGTGTAATGATACCCCCGGAGAAAAAAAGATTTCCATTGAAATTTCAATTCTCATTAAATTCTGGTTCAGAAAACTGAAAAATTCAGACGGATCAAACAATATGGGTCAATGAGGATCCAAAGATAGACTGAATAGTGCAAATGAGATCTTTCATTATCAAAAAATTAGAAAATTAATTTTTTCCATTAAAAATCGCGATAAGTCGGTTTCGCACTTTTATTATGAAAATTAATGAAGGTGAGAAAACCAACAGAACAAGCAAAATGATTATAAGGGTCGAATGGAAGACATGAGAAAAATGATAGAAGGGATCATATGGTCCAAACAGGAGCGGGTATCCGAATAATATTTACAAAAATAATCAAAATAAATAAATGAGCTAATCCGCCAATTCTGTTTAGGAAAAATTGCCTCTAAATTTAAACAGTTTTTTTGTCCATTTCTCACCGAAAATTATAGCTCAAAACAAGAAAAACGAGGGCAACCGGGGCTCTCTAGCTCAATTATTGATGAAGATATTGAAGATTGAATTTGTTTTTCTTCTAAAAATTTTTTTACTATAAACAACAGCAACAAAAATTAAACTAAAGATTTGGTAGGAAATTTTCTCAACTTCTGGGAAAAAAACACTTTTGTTTAAGTACCTATGTATTTTAGTACGGAAAACTCTTAAAGAAAGTTACAAGTGGTCACTTCAGGTGTTCCCACTCGTTTTTGTTTTTTCGGCTTCGCCTCTGGCCGCCAATTTCACACTCGTGAAAATTCCGTTTCACTCGTATCGAAATATACTATTTTGTCATAACGGTCATAGGTAGGGAGTCACACGGCCGAAAAAAAACTTTTCTAGCTGATATGATTGGAGAGCCCTCGCTGTTGGCTCATATTCGCCAGAAATTTGTTTCTACCTAATGACGAAATGAACTATCGGGGACTTCGGAACTAATGGAACTAGATACTTGAAAAGTTCAGTATATATGTACTTTCGGGCTATTTTGGTGAACTCTAAATATTGGGACTATCACTTCGAAGTTAATATATTATCGGAACCTGTTCAGTATTAATGTATTAAAACCTCTTTGAGACAACTCACAATATTACGGTTATTCACATGCATACACGGGTCTTCTCTTCTAGCACCCTCCCTCTAGAGGTAAAATTAATTTAAATAAAAAAAAAAAGAAATAATTAAGGTATTCAATTTTAAATACAAGAGCGCATGGTAAGACATTTTTATCGAGCCCTACTTAGGGTTCGCAACATACAGCTGGTATAAACAGCAAAAAGCCAAACACAAAAAATTAAAATTAAATTTTAATGTTTCACCAGCCCACCAAAATTTAGGATCACTGCGGCGACAATTTACATAGTGTTCCTACTTTTTATGGATATAGACATTATGTTTAAGAGGCAATGGAACTTACCATCAGAGTAGAAACTGGAGTCCAAGTTTTTTCATCGTCAGATGACTATTTAGCAAACCCCAAATTCTTATATCATCAATAATCAATAATCTTGATATCTATAGTGTAAGAATTTGGGTTTTACTAAATAGTCGTCTGACGACGAATAAACTTGGAATCCAGTTTCTACTCTGATAGTAAGTTCTATTGCCTCTTGAAGAATCTAAATTCTAGCGTACAAGTACACTAAGAAAATTACTCTTCCATAAAAGTCAAGTATCCCCCCCGACTTGAATCAAATATCAATTCAACTTGAATCGAGTTGTAGAATCTACTTGAATCAAGTAGTGTTGAACTTCAATTGAAGCGCAAAATCTACTTGAATCAAGTCGTTATGTCGGTTTACACAATTTAAGTGACAGACTGTTCAAGCCGTTTATATCGACTTGAAATAGGTTAATTCTTGTCTGCTTAGGGGGATATATATTCCTGACAAGTCCATTGAGTACCCTTGGCGGGGAAAAAAAATCAAAGGGTCAAATGTCACCCAACATGAGAGTTGAAAAAAGAGCGATATCGGTTTTTGGAAAATTTAGACTTCTTTTGAGAAAATCTTGACCAATTAATTAATTTTTGTAAATTCTTAGTATTCTAAAAATTGAATGAAAAAATGTTCTACGGGCTGAGTAATTGAATTTTCATTTCGCTCGTGGTCATCTAATGATTAAGATAAAAAATTGAGTGAGCGTCCATTTTGTTTCATTTGATGGATAGTATCGAAATTGAACGAAAAATTAAAGTTGAAAAGCACGGTGAGAACAACTCATACTGATATTTGATTAAATCGCCCTTTTCCAAAGACCCTTCATTATGAATTTTTACCTGGATTGGTGCTGAACTCATTTGGTTCGGGAGCATTTGATGTGATATTTGTTGTTGTTGCATCTGTCCCTGTGCGTACTGCATGTGGGGTTGACCCTGTTGAAGGACCTGCTGAACTTGTTGCTGAGGCTGATTCAGCTGCATCTGAGACTGCACTTGGCCCTGCTGTTGCACAGCCATCTGATTGATTTGCATATACTGCTGGGACTGCTGCAATTGCCCCTGAGCCTGATTAATGAGTGGCTGCTGCTGAACATGCGCTTGTTGTTGAACGCCAGTTTGGATCAACTGTGGGAACTGAGGAGGCCCCTGAATAGACTGTGGTGTGGAACATTGTGAAGAATTAGCACTCAATGCCTGGGCAATCTGCTGAGTGTATTGAGGCTGTTGCTGGCTCTGCGTCGGATATTGGATTTGCTGATACACTTGAGGCTGACTTCCCTGAGCGACTTGAGCCATTTGCTGAGCTTGTTGGGGCTGCACAACGGCAGTCGTCTGTTGAGTCATCATCGCTTGTTGTTGAACCATCTGTACTTGTTGTGGCTGCATATTTTGTTGCATGTTCTGCTGAGTGTTTGGAGGAATTTGCTGTGATTGTTGGGGCATCTGAGGTTGCATCTGCGATTGGATCTGAGAAGGTTGCATTTGAATATGTCCTTGCATCTGCATACTCAATTGTTGTTGTTGTAGTTGTTGCTGTTGCTGTTGTTGTTGTTGTTGTGTTTGTTGCTGTACCTGCAGCTGTGGTTGCAATTGTGATTGTAATTGTGACTGTGAAGACTGTTGCTGTTGCTGCTGCTGTGGTTGATTTTGTTGCTGAATCTGCTGTTGGGGTTGAATCTGCACCTGTTGTAGTAAATTCGACGGATTCTCCACTACAGCTTCTCTATCAAGTCGCTCTTTTTCTTCCTTGGTTTTCCGTTCTTCCCGATCCCGAAATAAAGCAGCGATTTGTGATTTCAACATTTTTGTTACTGCCTTAGCATCCTCTTCAAGTATCAAACTCGATTTGGCCATTTCAAGTGCAACCTCTTCAGCATTATCCGACTGAATATCAAATTCAAATTGAATAGCTTCATTCTCTTTATGCTTATTACTACGTTTCTTTGGATCTAAAACACGTAATCTAAATTCAACACGCGATAATTCGGTATCAGCAACCGCAGTATCGCGGGATACCATTTCTAGTTTCAGTCCCACGTCCTCAGCGAAGAATTCGTGGTTTAATAGATCCTTAACCAGTGGTCTTTCTTCTTTTTTTAGCCTTATGCACATCTCAATTATCTCACGCACCTCGGGGTTCTCCACTTTGTCGTAAGATAAGGGTTTAACACCGGAAACAACTCGTTTGTAGATTTGTGCTGGTCCAGTGCACTCGGAGTAGGGATACTCACTCGTCGCCATCTCCAACATGCACATCCCGAAGGCATAAACGTCCACTGACTCATCGTAGTGCTCCTCATACATCTCTGGTGCCATAAACTCAGGTGTTCCGATCACACTCTTCGCAAAACTTCGGTTTTTCAATGTAGCTAGACCTAAATCACCGATTTTAACATGGCCAGTTGGTCCTGTAATAAAGATATTATCACATTTGAGGTCTCGATGAATTATTGGAGGTGACCTAGAGTGCAAAAATGCGAGACCCTTTAATATTTGTCTGCACCAAGACTTGACAACTTTAGGACTCAATTTTTTGAAACGCCTCAGGTATGTCTTGAGCGTTCCGGATGTCATTAACTCGGTTACGAGTACAATATACTTTCTCCGAGTTAGAGTGACCTCCCAGTAGTCATAGAAGCGTACAATATTGGGATGTTGCAACCCCTTCAACATCTCTGCCTCTTCACGAAACCTCAATCGTTCCGTTTTATTTAGTTTTTTCTCTTGGAGTTCGCACCAGGCTACTGCAACCCCAGTCTGCGTATCCAGACCTCGATAAACAGTTTTGAAACTTCCTCGACCGATTTCCTCTTCGAATTTTAAGAATCTCTCGTCAGGGGAAATACCAATGGCTTTCTCGTCGTCACCGTCGTCTTCAACAGTCTGAACCTTAACTTTCATCATTAAATTTCTCACATCCTCCATTGTCATCGTTTCTTGAGTTAATTTAGTGGCATCAGCCTTGAAATTCTCGTCCAATAATGGGCCTATAAATCCCTCGATCGTCTCTTCTTGGCCAGATGTATCCTTCTGATCATTGCGAATCATTTCCGATTCTATTTCTCTCGTATTCACCGTCGAATCGATCGTTTTCGATACTTGGGACAGTTCAGCTTCTAATTCTGGCTCTGCGTCGAGTGAAGGAACTTTACCAAGTTTACTCAAGGATTCTCGAAGTGCTTGAGCTGCTACAATATCACTTATACTCGTACCATTGTCATCTTCATATATTGTCACTGTTTCTTCGACTTCAATCGACGAAACGTCAGAAGAGGATACGTCTCTCGTCTCTTGATCTTTTTCCGTCATTATTGATTCACCCGTTACATCAGCCATCATGAATCTCATGTTCTTCATTGTTGATAATTTGAATTTTTCACTTCCATCATTGTGTTGATCTTCATCTCTCGAAGATGATGGTAAAGATTTTTTACTGAAGTCAATTTCTGGTGCTTCGCTTGAAATCTTTCGCTTTGGAATTTGTGACGTTGTGTCTACGGAGGTTTTTCGTCTTTCTTTAGTCTCATTCTTAATTTTTGTTTCTTGTTTTGTGATGGATGATGACGATTTATCGATATCCATTGACCGATAATGGCTCGAAGGGGTTTTGGAGCGTTTACTCTCGCCATCGAGTGTTTTAAAGGAGATTTTCCGCACTGGAGTCGAGGTTTTAGAGCTTTCAGAAGCGTCTGAGTGTCGTTCTTGTGAATAGTTTGATTTTCTTGGGAGATTATCGTCAGTTAATGGTGTTTCAGAATCCGTGGGGGGTACTCTATCTGCAGTCTCTTCTTCATTACTTATTTTTCTAGATTTTACTGGACCAATTAGAGTGGAAGGACTTGAACTGAAACTGGGTATTCTAGACATTGCTTCACTAGCTGATGAAACCTCCTCGACATCACTACAACCGGTATCACTTGTCTGATCTTGGCTTATCACCTGAGGAAGTTTCTTTGATGATGTTAATCCGTTTGTAATTACAGTGGATTCTACAGTCTCTTTCCGTATTTGCTTTTTATTTGAGTTACGATTTGTGTTTGAATTCCTACGAGCACTACTTCCACCACTCCCTGAAGGATTTATTATGCCTAGTTTGCGTTGGCGACGGTGGTTACGCTGGGTGGTGACGACACTGCAACTATTTGTGGGCTCATCATTGGCTATGTGGCCCACTTCCAGGGTAATGCCGGTCTGGGGATCGGTATCGTTACTGACGTTACCACTGGCCAAAAGTTTTGGACACAAACCGGAAAGACCCACACCCCCCGTTCCCCCTGACGTACGTTGTTTCGTTGTTTCATACCTGAAAGAAGATTGACAGTTTAGTTTAGACTTTAGAATGGATTCTAAAGTCTTTGGCTTCGTTAGTCAAAAGTAAAATGATGAAACGATTCTTCATTGATTGGTAAGTATGAAATTATTTTAATAACCAGTGATTAACAAAGAAAAAGACAATAGAAATTTTTCTTGGAATTCTGTTATCTACAAAAAATGTCTTTTGATATTTATGAATAAAGTAAAATGTTTCCTAGAGCGTTACATGACTTTAAAAAATGATCAATTTAACTGCGTTGCGCTCCATTAATTAACTGCTGAATTGACTGAAAAAAAAATTACTATTGTCGATGATTCAGGGAAGACAAATGTTTTTATTTAGTATTTGAGTTTCAACAATGTTAGTTATTACATTTCTATAGTGAAATGAAAATGTGTACATTATTTTTCGAATATTTAGGGAGAGTAGTGGTGTGAAGAAATTTGACAAAAGACCGTTTTTGAAGAAAATTCTTTCAGACATCAAGAAGTTTTTACCATCATTTGTATAAATCAATTTCTTTTTTGTTCTGAGAATATCTTGTTAAGAAAAAAGATTCTAAATAGAGTAATATTCGTCTAAATCTACCAGTTTTCGAAATATTTGCAGAATAATCCATATTGAAATTCTTCACAATATTTTCTTAGCTCTCAACTAAGACAATATTTGTAAAGGACTTCCTGCCAGTACTGATCTAATTTACTTATTATTTACTCATTATATTCTCGTATTTCATTAAATCGATTGAAACAGAAATAAAAAATATAGAAGATTTTGTGATTAAATTAAAGTTTTGCTACTTCTATTGCAGTTTCATTAATTACTCTATATTTGGCACTTAACAAATGAATAATTATTGAATACATATTTTTACGGAGGTATACGTAGAGGTATATTCATTATGTAAAATTCTCAAACAGCCTGAATATGCATTCTATATATTTTGTTTCAGAATTTCAATGAATGAGTGTATCATCTTTCGAACGGTATCCCCATTGTTTTTAGATTTTTCGGGAAATTTCCCTGTTGAACCCCCTCTGCCACAATCAAAAGAATCCTCTAGTGTGCTGCGCAAGGTCATAAATACCACAATACTCTCTTCAGTGTTATTAGTAATGTTTTAAAGGACTTTTCTGCCACAGCGATGACTTACAACGTATAATGTCAAAAAATTGAGGAAGCACTTTGCCATTTAAGTTGTCATTTGCGCAGAAACATAGTGCAGTACATTTTACACATCAGTTCTTCGCGGGAAAGGTGGTTGGAGGCCTCTATTTTTTCTCTGCACTATTTTTCTCTATACTAGACTATTATCGTTTTACTATAGTCGTAATGTAATCAACGAATTCTTCAAAAAGTAATAATCGCATTAAAGAGAGATTTATCTGATTTACGATCTACATATATGTGGGCGTCCGCATGAAAAGGGACCACTTTGTTGATTCTATTTTCCGAGATATTCACGTTTTTCTCTTGCCAGCTCCCATTTAAACCCATGTTAAATTATTTTTTCGATCGTCTATAGCGTCGTCACTCTTTACGCTATCAAGTTCATTTTTGGCTCTAAATTTGCAGAATCAAATCAAGATTATCGGCATATACATAACTCCAATAGTGCCAAAGTGGTCCCTTCTCATGCGGACGTCCACATATGATGAGCTGAAGGAATCACATATGATGATCTTCTCCGGTAGACCGAAGGAATTTTTTCCATAATCAAAATGAAAATGTAGATTTTGAAACCCCTTACGCCCAGGCCTTATGGCATGATCCAAAATAATTTTTTCAATTGTATCATCTATGTTTTGCTTAATAAAAAATAGGGACATTTGGACGATTTTCCAAGATGAAAACTAATGAAATTCGTTTGACCCTATTCAATATTCCAAAATCGATGATATATCCCTGACGCTCGGGCAATAGTTTACTAAATTACTGTCATGTGAACTATATAAATTTATAGCAAGATTGAATAAATCATTAATAACAGTGGCTAGAATAGTTAAGAATAGATGATCTAAAATTTTTTCTTCTCGTATACCTTCGGGTCTTTACGATTTGTTCCCTTCCCACCCCCCAAACCCCTGTACAGCATTCGCCGAAGGACAAGGAAAAATCTCATTTGAGGGAAAAACCTGCCCAGGTCCAGTTGTCTCTTGCGAAAGTCCCGCTCGACAATGAAACCGTGAGATTTAGAGTGTCACAAATTTTGCCCCCCCCCAGCCGGGAATCGAACCCGGGTCTCCCGCATGCCAATCCCACACTCTAACCACACAGCCACCGCCGTCGGTGAATAGATGATCTATTTAATAGAAATGAATTCGTAGATTATTTTTCAAACATTGTCCTAGCGGGTAATTTTACAGATAGCGAAAATGATCCAATATTTTCCCCTAGACTACCACCATTACGTAACATCAAACATATTTACAAAATTAACTGCACGCGATTTCTAAACTCATCTCATTTTACCACTTTCTCCTCAGATTAACAGTCGATAGTAATTGAAGTCATGCGAAAATACAAACAAAATCGAAAGACTACATCACAGCTGTATACATCGTTGATGTGATGGATAAGATGTCTAAACCAATATTGAGACTTTGGAGAACGACAGGAAGTGATCAGTAATGAAGCAAGTATGTCAACCGAGTTTTCTGATAAAATGAATCAAGATGGAACTGAGTTCTCGATTATACAAAGCAACCGATTAGATCAAAACAATAAAAAAAAAGTTTAATAATTATTTTTTGTATTTTTCAATGTAAGAAGCCATGAATTTTGATACAGACATCATTATACCTGTCCTGTCTGGAGTGGCCAGAGGGAAAGAGTCCTCGCACTGCGTTGCCTATAGCTGCACGTTTCTTTGCCTCTTTTTCTCGTCCTCTGTAACTTCCACCACCTGAGCTCACCTGGTGATCTTGGCGGTGACCTTTATCAGCCTATTGAGAAAATAATTTTTGTAGAAGACTCTGAGAAAGTGCGGAGAAATGATCAAATAAATTAAATAATTGTTGTATTCATGAGTTCAAAGAAATTTGCAGGGAGGCGTTTCGAACTGAAGAACAGACTTTTTTAGGTGCTCTTATCGATTTTTATTTCTTTTGGAAGAAAATAGTATATCTGCCTTATCAATGACAGAAGTGGTCACACGGGTAGCGTGTTGTGGAATTCCACGGAGAAGTAACGTACAATATTCAAAAATTAGAGTGCTACGTTCGAATTTTTGGGTGGACCATCCAAAGTTTTTGGTGACCCCTGCTAGGTCCTATGGCTGCTGTGCAGTACACTAATTTTTTAAGGGACTTGTACGTGATTGTTCTGTTTTTCTATCCGTGTAGGAGAGGCATAAAGGCAGAAGAAAATGGGTCATCTATAAAACAGTAGCGGTAGTAGCAAAGAAATATAATTTTTAAAAAAGGTTCCCCTTACGTGTAATTAATTACCTGGAATACGTGTAATCGATTTTCCTCTGTACATTTTGTGAAGTATTGATCTTCATGATACTTGATTTATAAAACTCATCTCTCTCATGAGGATAATATTTCATAACACTCGCCATCATCATTGATCTTAAATATGATTTTTTTTCTCGTCTTCTTGATAGAAATTATTTTTCGCAAATATCTCGAAAATTATCCAAGCAATGGATTTCCTTTCAAAATAGTCATCACAATGATATCAAATTCAAATAACATCTAGTAGTCCTTAAGGGTGCCAAGCGAATTTGAAAAAAGATTCAAAAATAATTTTTTCTTTCCCTCTATCATTGGAGAAATATGTATTCATCCATCCGACGAAATTTCAAACCCGCAACCGGAACTAGACATCGAGAAAATAAATGCGGAAAATCCTCTATTTCGCGTGACGAACCTCGAGAAAGCATGGGATCAAATGGGTACGGCGGGTTGAAATATCTCTCTTATTCACCCCGGTACCCCATTGTTTTTTGTCGCCATCACATTGAACACATCATTCCCCATATCTTCAAATTTTTTCAAATTTTTCTTGAGTTCCTAGGGGGTTGAAACGTTCAATTTAATCAAAACTCCATAAGAGGCCGTGTATAAGACTGATTTTGTTTATTTAATTTCTGGATATCCATAAGTTCTGCGAGACAGACAGTCCAAGCGGCCGAGCGCATTGCGACATATGCCCTCCGAAATTTATTTGCTCTTAACTTCCAAATCTATTGATTAAATATTTCGAGATAAAATGCTACGGACGGTTGCACTTATTGCATGACATGAAAAAATTCTGGATTTTTTTCTCTCTATGGTTTTTAAATAATCATCGTTTGTATGCGCAAAAACGTAGTTTTTAAATTTTTTTGAGAATCAAGATACTTTCAACTTGCTAGTAATCTACCTTGCTTTATGGAAAAAAATTGGAAAAAATTCTGCATAATAATTTGACGATTTTCGAAGATTTTAAGCCTAAGTTTCCTGAGTTTTCGTTTCACTGCACTATTTATAATGTGCCGTTACAAAAAAAAAAAACATATCTGGCGTTGTATCTCACAAAGTGACTCAATTCTTTTTTGAATAAATTAAAATAATAGACTATATGGCGCTTGTAACATGCGACAAAATTGAATAAACGGTTTTTTTCTTAGAATTGATTGTTTTTTCACATGAAATTCAGGCTTTATAGGCTGAGCGTTCAATGTGCAACGAAGGAGGGGCATTCCATACTACTTCTATCAAATCGAAAGACTTTTTTCAAACTTTATGAAAAATTAAATATGTTGTCGATTTATTCCAGGCATGCCTTGCATGGAGAAAAATATTCAATAAAAATTACATATTTTTTCCGTAATTCTGGAACGAAATGTGGTTGTAGGAAATTTTACGGAACTGTCACGGAATTTTTCGAGAGCGCTCCGTAATTTTCTAATCGTAAAAATTACGATACCGTCACTTAAATTTTCTGAGTCGATTCCATAATCAGTGAGCGAATTGTGAGTTCCGTAATTTTCACTGAACATTTCTCTCCGTGTGGATAGTTATTAAAAAAAAAAAAATTCAAGTGATATGAAATCAAAATTTCAATTTGGACCAGATAAGTTACTTTTTTCAATTATACCTCGATAAATATGAATTTCATCAAAGAAGTGCAAAAGAAGTTTTTTAGTCAAAACAGGTGTAAGTTTGGGGGAAAAAATCCAGACTCAAAAAAATTGAATTTACAATGAATTAATCAATAAACAAATTAAAAAGTTGACAACAAATCATGATGGTGTTGCGAAAAATTCAAAAAAATATGTCATAGAGTAGGTATTGAATGAATGAATGAATTATACCCAATGGGTTCTCAGCGTAGTACTTTCTTAGAAGTTCGATCAACAACGAATTTCTGGGAGATTGCAAAATAGATACTCCTCACTTTACATTACTTATTGACAATGAAATGATTCCCAGAAATGTCAATGAACAGTCAACTGATGCATAAGACAGCCGTTCATCTATTCCTTAGAGAAGTCTTTTAGGTATTTATGGCGGGGTGGGCATATAGAAGGTGAGATAGAGGGGAATTTATTGTTCTCTCGCAGAAGACCAATCGTTGAACAAAAAAAAAGATATTTCAATTACAAATTTTCAATCTATTTCGACCATTTTTGTGTTCGAAATATTTCTGTTCTTTTTCTAGCTTGTCTTTTGGATAATTGGACAATAATTAATATGGATAGAACAAGTGACAACGTCATGCCGTCGTACAAGTTGGTAGCACTGATTCACTTAAGGGGTAACGTGACCGATCGCAAGAAGGTTCTATTTCGAAACAACTTTGCTCTGAATGTACCAAATTGGCTGAAAATTTGTAAGGAGATTCAGGGTGGTGTGAGGAAGATTTTCCAGCCCATTTTTTTCAATTCCTCGTTTTTTTTCCTTTTCATTTTTTCGATAAAATTTACGTCATTAGCAATGCAGGGATCTGACGCGCGATCACGAGACAAGAACCCCAATGAATCACTTCTATGAAAAAAAATTGACATATTTTTACATAGTTTTCCTAGGAAATTGTTTGCTTTGCTATAAATCCGGTTATTATGGGGTAAAAAGGTAACGAAAATGCCGCAGATAGTATCATTATCGTTTACTTTTACATAATTTCGAAACTCACTATCAAAATGTGAATTGGTAATAATTTTTCTCTCCCAACCGCTTTTAACGTAAATACTATTGTTTTTATAATTTTTTGGTTTTCCAACTATTTTCGTCGGAAAATAGATTTCCTTATCTATCGACCATCTTGCGGGGGGTAGTTACCGACTTTTCCTTTGCAACCAGTTCCGTTACCCCTTAACTGTTATGTTCCTTCCCGTAGCGGAATCTATCATCACTACTCCATTCGTATTTGCCGCACTTACCCCTCCACGATTGCTAACCTCGACGTCGTCGCTATTCCAAGTTGCGCACGCAGAATTCCTATTTTTCATGAATTTTTTAATTATCCCTTTTAAACAATTCTCCTAAGCCACTTGGATTATTTTTTTCTGAATTCCCATAAGAGCCCGTGTTAAAATGCATTTTTTATAAAAATTCCAGTGTTTCACCCATTCTCCTAGGCTATCTGGGATTTTGCACAGGGGTTTTGAAAAAATCAAAGAATGTATAAAAAAAAACATCAATTTCCCGAGTGGAAATTGCTTCAGGCCCACCTGAAGCACGATCAGAACTTGATCGAGTTTTTGTAACGTTCGACTGATCCGGTGATTCCTGACGAGAACCTGATCAAGTTCTGATCCAGCAGATCGGATCCCAAAAATTGCAGGCGGGTTCAGATCGAATTCTGACCAAGTTTTGATTTAGCAGATCGAATCCGAAAAACTGCAAGCGGGCTTAGATCAAGTTCTGATTAGGTAGACATGATCAGGTGATTCCTGATGAGAACCTGACCAAGTTTTGATCCACTAGATCGGATCCGAAAAACTGCAGAAGGACTCAGATCAAGATCTGATCAGGTAGGCATGATCTCACCCTGAGGTCAGGCTGCCTGACCGCAATTTGATCAAATTCGGATGTGATGCATTTGCTCGTCATTTCAACGGGATCAATTGAAGAGAAAATGATCAGATTCTGATCCGGTCCACCTGACCTTAATTTTAGGTCATATTTTTTCTCAGATAATTTAATTAACTATTATTATACTATTCAAATTAAGTTTTATCAACCATTATCAATAATTATTTTCAATAAAAAAAAGGATCATTATACTATAATGAAATTAAATTAAATTAATTTCATGAATTTAATTTGATTAATTAATTTAATTAACAGACAGCCCTTCTCAAATGTACAGAGGGGAGGGATGATGGTGCCGTAAATACATATTAGAGGAGTATCAAACTTAGACGCAAATGATCTTGAGAAAAAAATTCACCAAATGTCTATTTATTTATTAGTGCTATTATTATTATCATTATTATTGTCCATTAATAAAATGAATAAAAATTTAATTGAACATATTTTATCTCTGAGAATACACACGCAAATCCGCGAGATCATGAATAATCGTGAATTCAACGAATACCCCGATACAAATCATATAGGCAATGTACGGTTTACTCAATAGCAATAGCGCGATAGCCTAGTGGTTAGGGCAGGAATCTTTCTCTTATCATTGAAATGATTCTTATTGAATATAAACCATTACAATGACCTCAATCGGATGGTTAATTGTAGAGATATGCAACTTTATAAGCTAAAGTTTGATACCTCTGAAACTAGGCATCCTCTCATTGAGCTCATTTTCCTATTATGCAAATCTATTTTATTCAATATCTATTCTTTATTTTTTATCCTTTAAACCTTTCACCTCGATATCTTCTATTTCGATAAATCAAAATATATATAGCCATTCATGGAAAAGTTTTGCGATATTGCGGTTTTTTCGATTTTTTAAGGAAACTTACGTATACGTAGAATAATATGCACAGAGA